GGGTGGGGGGGGGTGTCGGCGAGGGGGGAAGCCAGGCGCTGAGTGTTTGTAGGGTTGCCAGGTGCCTGGCATTTTCGCCTCCTGGACGGGGAAAAAAAATCAGAAAATACCGGACATCTTAGGTGAATTTTTTTACCAGACAGGAGGCAAAAATACCGGAGGAAGCCAGGCGCTGAGTGTTTGTAGGGTTGCCAGGTGCCTGGCATTTTCGCCTCCTGGACGGGGAAAAAAAATCAGAAAATACCGGACATCTTAGGTGAATTTTTTTACCAGACAGGAGGCAAAAATACCGGACTATCCAGGTGAATACTGGACACTTGGCAACCCTAATCTGGCCCTGTGTGTGTTTTTTTCAGTGGGAACTTGAGCTCTGGTGGACCCACGGAGTTGGCTTCTATGCTGGGAGCATTGTAAGGCTTAGTTCATGCAGGTTTTGAAAGTACTTAGAACTTCTTGGCTAGAAGGACCAATCAAAGGGCAGGGTATTCATGCCACACTCATTTGCCCCACACAGGATCTTAGTTTCTCAAGAGTTCATCTGGTTTGGCTTCTTTCATCCCTGTTTGAAACTCCCTAATGCCCTGCTTTTGTCACTGGAATTTGTTGTTGTCAAAGAACTAGTTCCTGGGGTGATTGAAACCAAAGAAAGATTCCCACCAATTTCCTTGGGCTTTGAGTCAGGTCTCAAGTATGTGCAACTTATGAGGATGTAAAAACTAAATGAAACAAGGTTACAGTGGCTGCAAGCAAGGGACAAGTAGTGGAAGCAGATACATTCTTTAAGAAGCTAATACCATGAGTGCCTTTGAAAAAAATTAGGAGAGACAAATACGTGGTCCATGGCAAAAACAGCATATCTTCCATGAAGCTTCAGTTCCTCCTTATGAGACCCTGGTAATCAAATTGCAGCAAGGGAAGTTTAGGTTGGACATTAGGAAAAAACTTCCCAGCTGCCGGGGTGGTGAAACACTGGAATAAATTGCCTTGGGAGGTTGTGGAATCTCCATCACTGGAGATATTTAGGAGCAGGTTAGACAGACATCAATCAATCAGGAACAATCTAGATGGTGGTTGGTCCTGCCATGAGGGCAGGGGATTGGACTTGATGACCTCTTGAGGTCCTTTCCAGTTCTAGTGTTCTATGATTTTGCTGATGAGTTATTGCAGAAAACCCAGCATCCCACAAAGCTGTATTTAAGGCTGATAGCTAATGAAAATATACTGTCCAGTTGGCCCGCTTGGGCTGAGGGCCATTGCTGATGGCATCAGTTTTCTTTATCCTACTCAGAGATTGAAAATATGTCCTTGATTTCAGTCCCCAAGAACGTGGGCCTGTACTGCTTTGCTCTCTAATGGATCTTTTATTTGATCTGCTCATCCAAACATGCTGGGCATGTGCTTGGGTCACTTAGAGAAAGCTGAACCCCACTCATGTTCTTACAGGGTAATCCCTTCATATTGATGTCTATATTGCAGCAGGTAACAGAATCCATGCAGATTCATGCCAGCAGCTGATCACCCTGCATAAGCACAGTTCAGCTGGTGAGCTCTTTCCAGCATTAGGACTGCTTTGCCTAATCGCTTACTGCTGAAGTATGAAATGCATAAATATGTCAGAATATAAATACTCCCTTGCAGCAGTTGTTCGCACACGGTGAACAGATGCAGCCGGAGATAGCAGTGTGGTTGTATCTCTGTAGGTTTGACTCATGAATCAAAATCCTCAGGGACAACTTTGCTGGCATGGGTCAAACAGGGTGCAGGTTACTTTTCAAGCCAGTCGCTGAGCAACGGTGTTTAGGAAAATGCAGGTAGGTAAATCATTGCACATTTATATTATGGTTGGATGGTTCCAAACCAATGCTTGCTTGCAAAGTATAAAGATCCTGATCAGACTTCTATTGAAATTAATGGGGAGTCTTTCCACTGGTTGAAATGAGTCTTGGAATTGGGCCCTGAATGCAATTAAGTTTATTTCACAGGTTGACTTGTTTTTGCCAAAACTTTCTGGGACAAAGGCTGTCTCGTTAGCCATGTTTGTACAACACCCACATGATGGAGAACCAGTCCTTATGGGAGCTGTTGGACATAAACATCTGTGCATATTGAATAGTGGCTTTGGATAATGGCAACTTGTGTTCCAGGCTTCACCCTAAAAGGAACAAGGAGATGTTAATCCCAGGAAAAAAGGATTTTCTAGTGGAAACCCTCGTGGATCCTTCAATCAAGGTGAGTGCCTGGGAGGTGATATGTTCTAGTAAATGGCGCTTGCCAGACTGTAAACAGCTGCAGTTTCTAGGGAGGCATTTGCGATTGACTTGCTAAACCATGCCCACAATTTTAGCAAGTGCAGATGTTTGCCCTTCCAAAATGGTTACAGTTTCCCCTGAACTCTGCACACATGACAGATGTGCAACGAAGTATGATGAGATAACTGACCACAGTACAGTTGTGAAAATGTGTCTTCTAAGGTCCCTGAATCTTGCTACTCTTGATTAAGAATGTGGCGAGACATCGTCAGGTTCTTTTTACTTGAATCCCAAATCAAGCAGTTCTTCTAATTATGCTCAGCATGGGTCTGATAATAATGGGACATGTTTGATGGGGCATCTCTGATGCAAGGCCTCCTTATGCCAAGGCCTGAGATTTATAAAGATCGAGCTCCCACCTAATTGCATGCCAGAGGATTTTGGTAACAACCAAAATGCTGAAAGCCATTGAACAAAACTGTAAACCCTGCATATGATGGAAACTGCTTTAAGCCAAGGGACACTACAGCACCTTCCAGATGGGATTTTTTATGGGGTTTTAGTCCAGGGTTGCTGTGACCTAAACTGCAAACCTGAAATACATCTCAGGATATTTCAGACATCTGACCCCAGAGGCATCTTCATACCGCCTCCAAAATGACCAGAGAATACCCGTGCTGTTTGCTCAGTTATAATGCAGAGGTTGGGGTGTGCTTGTAGGAGTAGATCACAAAAAATCCCTTAGCAAAACACTGACTGAGCTGTGTGTAATGTCAGCTGTTGTCCAGAACTGGGACAGGCTGGACTGGGGGGGCGAGTTATGAGTCTAGCCAAAAGGATCAAAATCTAGTATGTGCTAGAAAAGCCTCCATCAGCAGCACTCTCTTTTAAGATTTTAAAATTTAGTTATTGGCAGGTTAATGTGCCACATCTTTCTCATAATATTATGGGGGCCTTTTGCAAAGGTTGGATCTTGGTTCCAATTTTACATCTTTCCAAAGTTTTGGGGGATGGTTTTAAAATCTGCGTTTAGGTGGTTTTAAAATCTGCATTTAAAATCCGCATCTCTGGGGATTATTAACCTCTAAAAGTATTCCTTCTTTTCAAAGAGTCTGGGAACAGGAATCATGATTTTTAAGGTCTGATGATCATGTAGTCTGATTTTCTGTATACACCAGCTTTCAAATTTCACTGAATGATTCTTCCATTGAGCCCCGTCTTGATTTGCTGACTCCGGGTGAGAGAGAATCCACCACATCCCTTGGCAAATGGAGATTATTATTCCAGCTTTATAGATGCCACTTCTTACTTCTCCTGGAAAACACTAAAGCAGCAATCAGTTTCTTTTATCTATTTAGACCAGTGTCTAAATTTGCATCAGTTACTTTGCTGTGCAGATTTTGCATACGATCCTCTCCCACTGAAGTCTGGGGGAAGCTAGAGATCTAACATTCTAAGACATGACTGGTTTACATGTGTACAGCCACATCTTAGAGACTTCAAATCTCATACTCATAAAATCACAGGCATAATTTAGACGCTGCTTTTCAACATTTGTCTGGCCTGCCCTCAGCTGTTTTTTCCTAATGTATTCTAGCATCAATAATAGATACTACACAGATCACTGTGTTTTAAACTTCCAATGTATAAAGTGTCCTGATTTTTTTTAATGAGATGCTTCTAACAGGAATGTGTCAGAGTTGACTAGAAACAAAATTCACTTGGTGGATTTTATCCCTAATAAAGGTCAAAACCAAGTACAGTTGGGTTGGTTTTGGCTGCCACATTCCTTTGCCCTAGAAATCTCCACTGGAAACAGTTGTAAGCTTAAACTTCAGAAGGCTTTTGCTTTGGTTGGGAGGAGAGTGCATTTCACATCTTGTTTGCACTCTTGAGAATTAATTATGACTGAAGCTTCTCGGCATGACATGCCACCTGGGCACAGAGGGTATTGAAATGTGCCACTGTGTGAAAGACTTGGCTTGGAATCCCAGACTTGGTTTCTTAGCTCCCCCAGGCAGATATAGATCAGAAATTGCAGGGAGAAGATGGCTCATTCCAGGGGAGCTTTGGGAGTGGCTCTCAGAAGCTCTGCAACACCACACTGTGAATGACCCTGGCTACGGCTGGATGACATGTAAAATAGTTTATTCGGCATAGTCAAAGAAGTGGGGATTTAAATAACGAGGCATACTGGAGTGATCGACAAAGGCTTCCCTTGTCGACTGTGCCGAGTCTAGACTGCCACGCTGTGCCGGATCAGCTGATTGTCAGCACAGCGCGGCGGCCATGTTTATTTTAATGAAGTGGGGATTATTTAAATCCCTGCTTCTTTGACTATGCCGAATGAACTATTTTACATAGCTCAGATGATGGAGCCATGTAGTCTAGACGTAGCTGCTCTTGCGTGATGGTATAATGTCTCCTGCAGCAAGCCAAGCATCTTCTGAAGATGATCACCATTCATATATCCTTTTATGGGACCAGTGAGGCAGCAACCAAGCAAAGTTCATGTTACCAGGACAATCTGGGTAGAAAGAATAGCAAAGACTCCAAAGCCCAGTGCTCACTGGTTGGGTGACCAAAAACCAGGAACAGCTTTGAGGTGTTTTTGAGGGGGCAAAAGGAAGGTGGCGGCATGCAAGAATTTTATGTCTATAGGATATAGACTACCGGTAATTCTGCTCATTTATCTCTGCAATCCCTTTTTTGTATAATGCGTTCCTTTTTGCTGCAGGAAAAGCTCAACAGGTTTCTAGATGGTTACTCTTTGCATCCTTGTTCTGCTGGGTGGAGCTTCAAAGATGCCCTGCAGCTAACCCTCAGTGTGCAGCAGGCCTTGCGCTGGCACGAGCTCTCTTCACACTCCCTGCCTGCTAAAAGAGATGAGAATAGGACATGAACATTGATTGCCTGCAGGCTTGTGCTTTTGCCCTGCCAGGGATCATGGTCATTGGCCACAGCCAAAGAGCAGTTCTCTATCAGCAGTACCTGTGGGACAAGCCAACTGGACATCCTCTGTTGGTGAGTCAAAGGCCTGCTCCGGTCATATCTTCTTTAGCAATTGAAAATTATCTAAAGAGAGAGCAATCACTGAGACACACCAACCAAAAAGGGGCCGCACAGAAAGGTAGGCTCTTTCACTGCTGCCAGCGCGGTGTGAGTCAATACCATCAGGTTCCACTGTATTGATGCATTGACCCTAGTTTAGTCAATGAAACAGGACGGGAAGTCTTAGGTACCATGAGCTAGCGAAGGAGCTGGTGTCCGCGTGTCAGGGAGTTAAGGCTTTCCTGCCAGTGGCTGGTGCTGACATGTAGTTAACTAGGCTCTCAGAAGTGCTTAAGATAAATGCAGTAATTTAGATAAAGGGAGTAGGTTTGGTATAAATTTCAGGGATCACATGTTTGGAGCTCAGTGTCTCCTAAGGAGCACTGGGGGCATTGGGGAGACACAAACTGTTTTCCTAATGGAGACTAGCAATTGCAAGATGCTTCTCAGTGTCTTTTTAACAATCCCTGTGATAGTTTTTGGAGTCAGTATGGAGGGACATGGGAAATGTGTTACTGTAGGAGCAAGAAAGGAAATTGACTGACTGACTTCTTACATGAAAGTTCCTTTTATAAATTAACAGAATACCCTGCATCAGCCTGGTGTTTACCCTGCCGATTTTATTTTGCTAATTGCACCCGGGACATTTTTTTTACATTAGAGTCTCGGAGAACAAGGGATGAAGGAAGATGGCTAGGATAGAGAATCAGGCAGTGGCAGACCTTGATGATTATCTTGCTTTTCCCACTAACCTTGTATGTGACAGTGAAGTCAATGGGAGATGCGGGAAGCTCAGCTCCTCTGAAAGTCAGGCCTGAGCTGTTTCAAACTCAGCACCCAAAAGGAGATGCAAAATCAGAGGCACTTTTGAAAAATGAGTGCCTCATCTTCCAGTCTACAACGTTTTACTCCTGGGGCTGGTGGACAGGACATGAATGGAGCATCCCTCCATCCTCCCTGCCTGTGTAGTCCTAGCAGTCAGGACATAGCTAATGGAACTGGGGCTATGTCTAGCCCCCAGACATGGCCTTACCCTGAACAAGGGGATGGGGGTGGGATGCACCAGACATGAGGGCTCCTTGACTCTTTCAAGCTGCTGCCAGCACTATGGGAGGAAGAACTCCTTTCCATTCCCATATGCCCAGGGTCAGCCCTGTATCTTGGCAAAGAGAATAGAAGTTTGATAAATGGCTATCATGGCCTGACCCAAAGCCCACTGGAATCAGTGGGAACCTTGTCTATACAACTGTCCACTCCTATTCAGCACTGCACTTGTACACTGACTTCAGTGGGTGGGACATAGTCATGTATTTAGGTACTTTGCTGAAATGTGACCTAAACATGGAAGCTCTTATGATACTGTGTGTGATTACACATCCTATAAATCCACTTGGTTGTGGGGGACAAAGAAGCATGTGCTTTGAATCAAATCCATCGTAAAGAGGGAAAAGGGATTTAAAATGTCATTTTTACTTACTAGCAACACTGGCTAACAACTCAAATGGCATCCCACCCTAGTGGGCTCTCTGCTGGGTCTCTCACATCTGCCCACGCTGCCTGTCCGGTGGCACTTGCTATCACAAAAAGGAAGTCAGGTTTGACTTAATATTCCTGGAATAAAGTAGACTTTGGTACTGAGCATTTATTAAATAAATATTCCTGGCAAACAACACTGATGTGCAGGGGAGACCAAAGCGCCTGGGATTTACAATGCTCTGGGGACTTTCTTATGAAGAGAAGACAAGAATGAGGACATCTGGTATCTTCTTGCTATCAAATTGCTTCCTACTGTGTATAAAACGTGAATAACTCTCCCAGTTGTAACTCATTTATCTTCCTACCCAGGGCAAGGTCTTTTCTCACAAAGCAAGTAACCCAGGCTCTCTGAAGGGGAAAAAATGCCCTCCCATGAGCATGCAAAGATGGGAG